GCACTAGCCCAGGGGAAGGATTGGATGATCTAATAGGATTTTTGATTTGTATTATCTAAGCTCTTCCTATTCTACACACAGCTCTAAACACAGTTCATGGGTATACAGCCATGAATACGAGCTTTACTTTGTCCTGTGAGTGCGGTGTTCTGGCCTACTGGACCTACAGAGGCTATCGAAAGAGTAGCTGTCACCAGAAGAACCGTCTCTGGTTTCTGGCTAACTAGAAACTCTGGTGTTTCATGCTGATGACCTAGCCACGTATCCTCCTTGGCTCTAGATAAAATGTTTATCAAGCAGTTCCAGTGGTTTGCATGCAGCACCTTGCTTCATGAGGAGAAAGAGGCTGGTGCTTGGCTTTTTGTATGCTGAGCTTGTGTCTAGTCTACAGTCTGGATTTGTTCCCTGTTCATGTCTGATTAAGGTTTTGACATGGATCTACCAAGCCTATAATAACAGCATGCTGTCTCAAGTAATTTATTTTTTGAGACCAGGCACTGCATCTACTTTCCCCTGGTATGCTTCAGCTAATAGCCCAGGTGGCAAAGAGATGATGGTGCTTTCTCAGAATAACCTTCCCTGGGCTAGAACAGCTTCCTCAAGATGACCAGAAGGAGTTCCTTCCTCTTCCGATGTTCATATTATCCTGAAGTATCTTGTTTTAGCATAGGACTTAGGAAGAAGAAATTACAGCAGGAATTAAAACCAAGTGGGGTCTCTCTAGCCACTTGTTTTCAGTTGTCTTTATGCATCATCAAGATAGTTAGGGATAGATGCTTTAGGAATGAGGGGTAGAGTTGTGCAATTTGAGCATAAAGCCTGTAAAGGTTACATTTTAATGAAAGTCTAGCACCAAGGCAATTCCGTGCTGTGCTGCAGGTTATATTTGGGGTGCTTTTGTGTGAAAGAACACACTAGTTAAAAAGCCAGGGGATGGTGGCTATGGGTGGCTACTCTAATTGCATGGAGAAGTAGGAGGAAAAGCTGGACCAGGATTTAAGGGTGTTGATGTGGGGTGGGGCGTGGCCAAGGCTGGACACGTGTGCTTTCAGTCAGCATGCAGACATCTCATACTTCAGAGCAGAAAGAAGAGAGCTGCATGCTCAGCTGAGTGTCTGACCAGCATAGGGCCATGCTAATCCTTAAAGTGGCTAAAAGAGGATCAAAGGAAAGAAAGAAGAGTGTACAGAGAATAATAATTTCACGCAAGGAATTTGGTTTCTCTGCAGCTAAGGCTTCTAAGCTAGTTACTAACTTAATATTTTTGCTGGGCCAGTTATTCTGCAGAGTTATTTCTTGTTATTGTTTGGGTTCTTTTTCCTTTTGTTGACGGCTTTCTCAAGTATATTAAGCTCCCTTCTCAAAACAGAACTCAGCATTTCCATGCTCTAGCCTCTTCCACAATGGGCTATCAGGGATTCTGTACTCATCTATTGCATTACCCTGCTTTGTGCTCTGAATCTCCATCTTTCTGTTTACTCTGCCATTTGTAGAGATTGCTGCGCATATGGTAGGGAAGCTCATCTGGGGTTTGTGACAGGATACTGCAGGCACTTTCAATGAGATATATTAAAAATTAAGTTTCCTTTATGAAATCTGTCCAAAGACCTCTGAGCTGCTCTTGTCTCCTGTGGCCTCAGAAGACTGCTCCTTGCCGAGATTGAGGGCAAGGTGGACGGTGTGCTGAGACCCTTCATACATCAGCACAGAAGGGAAAAATCCCTTATTTCAGCAAACCATTTGTGAGCTGCCTGAGGTTTCTTGCTGTTTCTTTGGCAGCACTAAGTATCAAGAGTAATTTGTTGTGGCATTTCCAAAATGGCAGTAGTGTTGCTAGCTTTGGCCATTTTCAAGGGGCCTAGGCCAAACTGCTAAGTGTGGCTAATGGAGAAGGCCCCAAAGCCCATTTCAGAGTGACCGTAGAATGAATCTCTGCAGATGTGACAACAAGCTTGGTCAGAAAAGAAAAGAGCCATGTCCAGGTAAACCAGTAATGAGATCCAAACAAACAAAGCAAAAGGCCTGAAAGGAGACATTATTAAGGAAGACCTTAAATATTCCCAATATAATGGATCATAACTTTATCTTAAAAAGTTAGTAGTAGTGATTGATGTAACCAAATATATTAGATGTTGTTTTGCTATAATAGATACAGTTTTATAGTTTTGTTAAGATTCTTAGAAAAGCTGTAAAAACAATGCAGCCTTGTCAGTGAAGACCATAAAGTAAGATGAAGAAAAAACAGGACACTGGCAAGCAGCATTCCATAGTGGTGAAGGTAGGTGATAGGAGACCCTCCCTTCTTTCCCAAGGATCAGTGTTGTCAACCCAAGAAATTCTTTTACTGACAATCTGAGAACTTTTCACTGACGAACATTTTTATTGACCATGTGCTTTTTACTAGCAGTAAAATAAATGTTCTTGGATTGGCAACCCTGTGGGGCTGCATCAATGGTTTTACACCCTGCTGCCCCTACCACATGGGTCCCCTACTCACTTCCTACCCTAACACCTCTGACTGCACCTTGTACCATGCTGCCCCCTCAGTCTTACCCCTGCTGGCCCTGCTCCCCTCCATCCCAACATGGACCTCAGAAGAAACCAACCTATAACTCAGTAGTGTTATAGGATGGGAAGAAGCAGCAGATGTCTATGTGGTCTCACAGGGTGCTGTGCTCCTGCTTACACAGCAGGTGGCTCTGCACTGTTTTGTCTGTGCTTCATTCAAGTTCCAGCTGTCCAGCTTCTTTCTGAGAAAGAGCTTCCCAAAGCAGATGGAACCTGATTGTTTTTACAGAGGGCTTATGTTTATGTACAGACTTTACAAACGGACGTTTTAATCCTTTTTTTAAACTTGCTATCCATAAATTTGTAGACAGTTGGTAACCTACGAAGGACATAAATCCCAACTAATTGACACCTTCCAGGTCCACAAGAGATCTGGTTCAGCCCAGTCCCAAAAGTTTCAGTGAAACAAAAGAAATTTTAATGCAACCTATCAGGAAAAATTTATTAGAATATTAGAATAAGCCATCTATAAATATAGGGTATAGGATGGAAGGAAATTGGGAGAGCTCAGAAAATTCAAGAAGATCTGCTGCAGTCTGAGTGCCATTGTACCTTTCCCACCACCTCAAAACTCTCTAGGCAGTCTGGGTAAGAATCTCTGTTGTATTGTCATGGGTAGCTGAACAGGCTTTGGGAGAAATGTTTGTTTTTGTGTTTTGGAGTGTACGCAATAAAAGGTCGGGCTGTAGATGTGTCTCACTCTTTTATCAGTAGTGAACCCTACAAGTTTACCTGTAATCCAGGTAACACTTGCCTGTGGCACTAGTAAGAGATGCTGCTTGCTTCCAGTGACCTATGCAGGGCTGTGATTCTCCCTATCCCCCTTTTATATAAAAGTCAGTGTTATTTAAAAAAAAAATATATCTTCAATGGGGGCTTTTAATACCTGCCTGAGATGAACAGGCCATTTCACACCTCTGAGAGAATTCCAGGCTTTCTGCAGAAACATGCACTGGTTACTAGCTTGCCTCTCTGTATCTTAGTATGCACTCAGAGCAAGCAGAGACTGATACTTTTTGAATGAAAGCTGGAACTTTGAAAAATGAGATGGTAGGTTTAGACAGCTACAGGTATGACATACGGAAACATACTACCTGTTTCTGAGCCCTCCAGTCTGCTGAAGTCCCCCATTCACCAAGTTTTGGCAGTTGTGGCTTCTGTGAAATGAATCTAATGATTACCTGGGATCCTAGTTTTCACTGATTTAAAAAAAATTAACCCCCAAATCCACATTTTTCCATGATTAAAATGAAACACCATTATATAGATATATCTATATATCAGTGGTGTTTCATTTAAATCATGGAAAAATATGGATTTGGGGTTCCTTTTTTTAACTGAAAATTGGGGATTTTTTAAATCGGAGAAAACCAGGATCCCTGGTGATCACAGTCCTGTTTCAAGTGGAGTAGGGTACGATCATTGTGACTGACAGCTTCTTGGCAGCCTCAGCAGAAACAGTAACGATTAAATGGGCATGGAGACTGAATTACTTTCTCTTTCCTTGAAGTGATCCGTTTAATCAGAGCTTAGTTAATTTGACAGAGAAACTTGTTTGGTTGCTGTCTATGTGGTATCTCTTATGGAAAACAGAGATCTTTAATTTTCAGATCTTTTAATTTTGCAAGTTCATTATTGCCTCAGCCCTTTATGTAATTATACATGTAAAGTGGTCTGAAAGTGTAACCTACTGTCACTCACAGTCCCCAGACCCAATTTGATCATGCTTTCATAGGCATAACTTCACTGTTCTCCATGGCCCCTGGGGAGAGCAGTTCTGTGCTCAGGTGCTGTCTGTCTGCCAACCTGGTTCTAAAGCTTTGCTGCTTCATAACAGCTGTCAAGGGAGCTAACTGAACCTTCCCTTCCCTCCCCACCCCCAATATTGGGAAGTGTGGTAGTGCAATATAACCACCGTTGTCCATTTCCTGGGCTCTGCCAGGAGGAAGGTGTGACTGTTTTTGGGGCACTGACCTTTTGCACTCAATTTGGATATGTAGGTCTCAAAGCATTTTTATAAAGGTAGGTAAAATGATCTTTAACCATTTTGCAGATGAGTCACTGATGGAGTGAGAGATGCCCACAAGATTATACAGCTAATCAGTAAAGGAGCTGAAAATCTAATTCTTTTGAGAGCTGCTTCATTTTTCCTACAGGATGTTTGCAGTTACGATGGCTTTTCCTGAAGTCTGAATATCTAAAAGTGCATTTAATGTTCTGTCTTCCATTGACCAAGTTTTTGATTTTTTTTTTTTTTTTTCCCTCCCCCCCCCCCCCCCC